AGCCTTTTCCCCCAGATGGGTATTTGGAGCCCAAAAAGCCGGACATTTACGGGAAAATCCGGACGTATGGTAACCCTAACTTATGTACGCAGCTACTTACATGCACATTTGCAGTGTCAGGGCCTAAGAGAACAAGCACAATTTAAAAAGTAAGGATCATGCACCATGAGCTGTATTCTGTTAGTTTATTTAGCAATTGTAGTTTAACGTTCATTATTTTTTTTTTTTTTTTACTATAATATAAGTAAATATTTTGTAGTGTAGCTTTTTAAAAAACTAATGAGGTTGATACAATGGTCTGCTAATCAACACCGACATAATTTGCTTACATAAATAAATAAATAGTGGTTTCTACCCACTGCCCAACAAAGACTTATTAGAGAAAGTCAAATGATTGAGCTTCTACTTCACTTCCACTTTGGGATCCTGTACCCTAGCACAGTGCTGGAATATTTGTGCTGCAAGCTCTGTAGGGGAATGTCCTGTAATTGAAAGCAAAACACAATCCCTCATTTCAAGTTGGTTTTCCAAAATTCTGAGTACTAACACTTTTTTTTTTAAACCCCAAGAACACAAATTTTTGGATCTGTTCTGTACTACTATTCAAAATCTTTTACTTGACTGAAGCCTGGTACACCTCTACCCTGATATAACACAAATTCAGATATAATACGGTAAAGCAGTGCTCGGGGGGGGGCTGGGCTGCGCACTCCGGAGGATCAAAGCAAGTTCAATATAACGTGGTTTCACCTATACTGCGGTAAGATATTTTGGCTCTCGAGGACAGCGTTATATCGAGGTAGAGGTGTACCACCCTAAATAATTATGCTTTAATATCTTAAGCCTTGATCTCACAATCGCCTCTGTGTGCGCAGACCCTACATCCACATGGAACCCTGCTGATATTACTGGAGCTGTGGACAGGTGCAGAGGTCTGCCTGTGTGAACCCCATGCAGGCTCAAGCCCCTTGCTGTAAAGCTCCTTGGAGAGGCTGCCTTTTGACAAAACACAAGTGAGGGGAAAAAAATATTCCTCTACCCCAAGTCATAAAGAAATCTTGAGCTTCCTAGTTTCTTTCTTTCTTTTTCTTTTTTTTTTAACAGTCCCTACGTGTGTTTGCCTACATACAGCATATGTGTCTGTGCATGAAATTTTTTTTTAATAGTCTGTTCAGGTTTTTTCATCTAGAATCTTATAGGTAAACTGTTGTTAATGCTTATTGTTATTAGATAGAGGAAGATACTTTGGATTAATGTCATCCTACTGAAGAGGAAACACACAAAGGCCTATATCAGTGCGCCATGGTAGGCCTCACATAAATTTTTGGACAGTGATATAAGGTGTTGGGAGCCTACTACAAAGTATTAAGAACAGGAATTGGTTCTGGAAAACTAGAGGCCTCCAGTAAAGCCATTTGTTTGGACCTCCCAGCTGCAGGGTGCAAGAGTTAGTGTGTCACTTTCTCAATCACTTGCCCTATGCTTCTGTCATGCCAGCTTTAATTATATTTTAAAAAAAAAAAAAAAAAGGCACAGTAGGTGATTGTCCAGAGCTAATGTGGGTGTTTGTGGAAGTTTAGTGTTAAGGAAACCTCTGGCATGACCCATCCAGGGCTGTGATAAAAAGGAAGAGATCCTGATTCTTTAGGAGGTTAAAGTCAGTCTAGCATTTATTCTGTAGCTTCTAGGGATCCTGCATGACCTAGGAATCCACCTAATACTGCCACAGATGCAGCCTTATTTGAACTAGTGTATATAAGCACACTCCCATTGACTTCAACCAGCTGAGTGAGACTTCCTGCCCTTCCTATGACTGGTTTAAATGATGCATAGTGCCTGAGGTGGGCACTCAGTGCAGGGGTAAATTTTACTCAATACAAATTAAAAGCCTCATCCCCCCCAAAACACGGAACTGCAAGCTATAATTGTATCATGGCTTGTCTACACTACAAAATTAGGTTGATTTTAATTTAGGTCGACCTACAGCCACCGCAGTAATTCAATTGGCTGTTGGTGTTCATGCTACCCTCCTTCTGCCCATAGTGTACATCATGGGCAGTGGGTGAGGGCCCCCCCCCCCTCCTTCGGGAAGGATAGTCCACCTACCTGGCCCCTTCCCCACTCGCCCACCAGAGCCCTGAGGGCCCCCCCTCCCCCTGCAGCCAGAGAAGCCCTGGCCAAATCACCCGACCCCTCAGCCATGGCCTGAGCCAACCCTGGTTGCCAGCCAGCACGAGCCTGACCCCCCCCCCCCCCCGCCTGCCAGCTGGCTGAGTCGCCACTGGCACGCCTGAGGGCTGACCTAAGTTGCTCCTGGCCCTTGGCCTGGGGCAGCCTGAGGGTTGGGCCAGTGCTTGGTCCTGCCCGGTCCTCGGGCCTACTGGTGGCCTGGGGCAGCCGCCGACCCAAGCTCAGCCCCTGCTGGCTTCGGGGGAGCAAGGGTGGGACTTTGGAGCAAAGCATGGGCGGGACTATGGCCTGGGTTAGGGGAGGCTTAACCTGCCTGGACTATTGTACCCACCACCGATGGTGCACATCCTCACCAGGAGCACTTGCATGACTGAAGTGGGACACTGACAGCAGTGCAGAGCTCATAGTGGAGTAACCCACCCTCCCCAGGGTGACAGCCTGAGCTGTGAGCCAAGTAGGGGCTCAGTTTCACTGCTGGAAGCCTACCAGCAGTGAAATTGACATTCTTGTCAGTTTCACAGCTGCCTCCTGCTCAGCAGAGCAGCCTGGGGTTTACAGCTGGAGCCATGAAACTGTCAAGAATGACAGCCAACAGCAGATCTAAGTAATACAGTGTCTTCACAGATGCTACACTATGCTGCCCTAACTACACTGAAATAAGCACTATACCTCTCGTGGAGGTGGAGTTATGTCGGTGTAGCAGGCCACTTACTTTGGCAGAAGCAGCATTCTAGTGTAGACACTGACATAATTAGGTTGACGTAAGATGCTTTACATTGACTTATCTCTGTAGTGTAGACCAAGCCTTTTAGAAAATTATAATATTGTTATGGCACACATCATGAGGTGGTGCTATTACACAGTCTTCCAAGTTCTTCTAGTGTGCAAGCAAATGTTCAGCTTTGGGATGGCACTTGTTGTTTGTTTGTTAGTTTGGGGTTATGCAAGTTCTGTGTAGAGGTCAGTGGTCCAGGAAGAAATGGCTGTGTGAGCTGTAGGAGAGTTTGCTCTCCGCCTTGGCTCTGTTTAGAGTCCATTCTTGAGATACAGTTCTCTGGGAACCAGGCCTTGAAGTTGGGCTATTATTCCTGGAAGAAGAGATTACCCTTCATGTCATCTAACCACCACTTTTCTAGAACTAGTGTATTGTGTAACCACTAGGTAGAGTACAGGACTATCTTCAACCTCTGCTGGGTACTGGCCTGCAAAGCCCTTGGCCTAGACCTCTGCTACCATTTGCCAGATTGCTGAGACTGTAAGAAGGAGCAACACTCAGGGCCACCGAGAGCGCGTTTGGGCCTCGGTGGAAAAAAAATTTTCGGGCCCCCCAGCAAGGGTGGACCGGCTAAACAGGGCTGACTAGAGGAGGGGGGAAGCCAGGCCCAGAATTTTTTTGGGCCCCCCAGCAAGGGCAGACTCGCTAAATAGGGCTGACAGAATGGGGGTGGGGGGGAGCCAGGCCCCAGGTCCCCTTCTAGACCACCAGGCCCCGTTAATTTGTACTGGCTCCCCCCCAGCCCTCGTTGGCCCTGAACACTATTGCTAAGCATAGTTTACCATGCTTCACAACTTTTAACATGGTCATAGTTATAGCTGACAGTTTAGTGCTCCAATCAGGGCTCTGTTTATTTTACGTGATTAATGTATGCTCCTTAAAAGCTCAGGCTGCATATATGAAATATTAATTTAATCTTTAGATCTTTATAACATGCACTTTGGACCAATGTCAATAAGTAGAATTCTCCCAGTTGCCCCCCAACTCACTCTCCTATAACCATCCTTATATCTACTCAAACATGTCATTTTATTTCTGCCACCACCCTCTGAAAAGTGAGGAAAAAACAGTTTGAGAGAATAGCTATATTTCGAAGTGTGTCGTGGAAGCTGAACAATCACAGTTCTGGGCAAAAACCTGTGCCTAGATTCCCCCTGGCATGCAGTCTGGGACTGGCATGGGCCCGCTGTGCCCCCCGACTCGTTCCCCCCTGCTTGCTGGGGGCAGTTGGTGGGTTGTTTTTTTTTTTTTTTTTTTTTTTTTTTTTTTTTTAAAAGGGCAACAAGACAAAAACTAGCCAACAAGCGACTCTCAAGCCAATTAAGCAAAAAACAAGCCCAATTTCTGCGGTTTGGGTTTGTTTTTTGTTTTTTTGCAGGTTTGGCATGTCCGATAATGACGGTTACTATTGACAAGACTGTACTCTAAAATAATGTGCAAAAATATCAGTTAAGAGGATGAAAGAACTGTGATTTATAATCTAAGGAAAATCTTTCATCTGCCTCGTAGCTGCATTGTGAAATGTGCATGTGCTCTCAGTCGTAGCAGCAGCAAAAGTCCTTCCCTGACAAAGCATCCAACTGTGCTATCATAGCTACAACCATGTTCAAGAATGATTGATTGTTAAACACAGTATAAACCATGCAAGTCAGAATCAGCCTCCTAAATCATCGTCAACCATGTCAGTTGCATGATGCCATGCAATGGACTGAACAGCTCTACCAGCTGAATCCATCTACTGTACCCTAGGTGGCCTCTAAAGAGGGAATGCATCCCTAGAATTGGATGCAGGGGACTAGACCCCGGTAGCCCCCATGGCAATGGTCCTTCATGCAGCTGTTTTCAGGCTCAGATCACAATGTATAACCGTGTAGTGCAGGGGTCAGCAACCTTTCAGAAGTGGTGTGCCGAGTCTTCATTTATTCACTCTAATTTAAGGTTTCGCGTGCCAGTAATACATTTTAACATTTTTAGAAGGTCTCTTTCTATAAGTCTATAATATATAACTAAACTATTGTTGTATATAAAGTAAATAAGGTTTTTAAAATGTTTAGAAAACTTCATTTAAAATTAAATTGCAGAGTCCCCCGTCCAGTGGCCAGGACCCGGGCAGCGTGAGTGCCACTGAAAATCAGCTCGTGTGCCGCCTTCGGCACCCGTGCCATAGGTTGTCTACCCTTCGTGTAGTGTGTGGCAACAGTATGTAAGTGTGTTTTCAACCTGGTCAGAGAGGATGAGTAGTAGTGTATAGTAGGTAAAACGTCCCCTCCCCTTGCTCGCTATGAGCAGGGCAGCCCGATGTAATGCACTGGGACTGCTCCTTCACCCTCCTGACGCAGGAGCCTGCTTGATGGGAGAACTATAGGAACACACAGCAAAGAAGAGAGACAGGCAGGCAGCCCCCATTGAATGGTTGCGCCACTTGCGCAACCGCCCCCCTTTCACCCAGTCAGCTACGCAAGCCCGTCGGCGTAAATGCCTTAGCGCATACCGGTGCTGCACTGCGGAGGTGCTGCTATTCAACCAAGCTTCCCTTGCTCGCTCCTCCCCCATCTTTGCTCTGTCCCCGCCTCTTCCTCTGCTCTGATTGGCGGGGGTGGGCGGGGTCTCCAGCGGCGATTGGCTGTCGGTGTGCTGAGGCGGGGTAGGTTGCGCGCAGGGTAATAAAGTTAGTGGGGCTTGCTCAGTGCGCGTTAGAAGCGGCTGCGAGTTGGATCTCTATGGAGGTGGTCGAAGGAAGTTTTTGGCTGCTCCTGCTTGGCTGATTCGGAGGCTCGTCCTGCGTCGTACGTTCCCCCCCCTCCCTACCCCGGTCCCCGGCTCCCTCTTTCCCCCTCCCTTCTCTCGCCTCTCCCCCCGCCCTTGGTAGCCGCCGGGACCCGGTGAAGCTGACGAGGCCCCAGGGAAGGTGAGAAAGCCGGTGCCGGCGGACAGCGCTGGGGGGTACTGTTGTCTAAAATGGCCGCTGCTAAAATGGCCGCCATCTTCTTTTTGCCTCCCCCTCTTTCTTCACTACAAAATGGCGGCCCCGGCCGCCGGGACCGGCTTCTCCCCGGCCGGTGGGCGAAGGGCAGAGACTCGCAGCCCGTCCGGCCAGGATGACAAGCCGTGGGGAGGGACTGGCTGCGGGCCGGGCGGGGGGAGGCGCGGCGGAGGGAGCCGGTTACTGGCTCTGCCCTTGGAAGGGTGCCTCAGCCCGCTCGCAGCGGGGTAAAGGGGAAGCAGAGAACCGAGTCCTCCGGGGAAGGCAGCCTGGCTCCCGCGTAACCCTGGAGAAGCTGCCTGCCCTCGCGCATGTCGGGATGGAGGGTGAGGGGTCTTGATCTGCCCCGGGGAGGGGCGACTCCCTGACCCCGACCTGCCCAAGAGGGGGACGCGCCTTCGAGACCCTGATCGCCCCCATAGGGTCCCCTCCCAGGGGGGTGGGCGGATGAGCCTCTCGCTCCGGAGGAACTCCCCCCTTTCCCCCGGGTGCCTCCCTGCGCCAGCGAAGGGGGAAGCGCTTTGTCTGGGCGCGAGGCCCTCGCGGGCTGCGTGTAACGGGGGGGCGGCCCGTCGCCCTGCAGAGGGCGGGCTGGGGGCTTCCTGCTTCCCTCGCCGAGAACAAAGAGCCGGCCCGGCCTGCTGAGCCTAGGAACGGGCGGCGCCGGGGGGAGGGGGGCGCTCGGGGCTCCGTGCGGCAGGGAGGGGGGGAAGTGCCTGTGTCCTGCGGGGGCGCCGCGGCTGCCGCCTGCGTTTCCCGCAGCCCTTTTGTTCGGCTGCAGCCACCTCTTGTTCCCTTCCCTTTCCCCCTGCCTGAGCAGGCGGCTGGAGAGAAGCGGGGGGGAAAGAGCTGCCGGGGCAGGATTCGAAGGTGTATTGCTCAAGCGGAAAGTATCTCTAAAGAGTAGGTGGTAGCGCTTACCTGCCAAACACGCATAGGAGGGAGGGGGACTTCCTCAGGGGGAAAAGACCTTTCATGGTCTCACCCTCTGGTGACGAGAGCTCTGGGCTCCATCATGCTTTATCTCCTCACTTAATTTTTTAAAATGGTTGAGCCAGTAGAAAAGGTGTTAGAAGCAAAATTTTGAAACAAAGAACTGTTCAGATGCTCGATCTTTTGTTTTCAGAGCAGACTACCTCCATGATGAGTACTGCTCTGATTTATCTTTTAAAGGCCACCCACGTTTCTGGGCATGATCAAACTACCTCCATCTTTGAATCTTAACCATTTGTAGGGATGAGGCAAATGGGGCTTAAAGCGGTTCTGTAGTTAAATGACTATCTTTTATATGGATTAGATATTCACGTAATCTTAAATAGGCCTGGATTAAACACTTTATGATCTGGCACATCTGTTCACACTACAGTTTTTAGGATGCATTCCTGTTAGATTTGACATTATTGCGTGGCTGTTCCTGCCAAACTTCACAATAGTACAAATAAATCTTAATTTTAAAACTAGACAAACTCTTAAGCGAATATGACATCAGACTGTAGAATTTTTTTTTTAAAGTAACCTGTAAAAAAAGGTGTGTCTCAGACAAGAATTTAGATCTTATTTTTGGCCACAAGAGAGATGATTATGGTCACATAATCGAGCTTTCTGAGGATGTCCCTACATTGCTTTATGTTGCTGATGTCATCAAGTGTTGCACATAAGTGAAGGAATAAACTGACTTTCAAGCTGTATTTAAGCTCTGGGGGACTCCTTTTTAATAAAAGCAGGTAGTTAAACTCAAGTAATGTGGTTTGTGTTGATAGATGTCATCCTGCTGAAGAAAAGAACTGTTATAAGCACAAGCAAATAATTGTAATGTGAACTCTGATTTGTCGTTCTAGGTTTTTTTCCCCCCACCCTGTCAATTTATTATTCTTTTGAAGATTCTTCGTTGTCAAGCCGCCAAAGTGGAGAGTGCGATTGCAGAAGGGGGTGCTTCTCGTTTCAGGTAGAGTGTTTGTTTTTCCCCTCAATGACAGACTATTGTAAAATAACTCAAAAGCAAAATGACTGGCAATATATATGTTCAACTTTCTATGAGAATTTTAAGTTAGTTTTATATGCTAAGTGACAGATTAATTGTATCGCTTTTAACTTCTGTTTGTGAAGGATGTATAGCTAAACTTTCAAATAAAATAAACAAAAAAATTGTGTAGCTAGGCCTGAGCTAGAGAGAGTACTTTTGAAAAGCCTTGAATAAGGATATTTTCTTCTCTGAAACAGTGCTTCTTCAGGCGGAGGAGGTAGTAGGGGTGCACCTCAGCACTATCCCAAGACTGCCAGCAACAGGTATGTCATATTGCCATGTTGGTGGTAAAAACATATATAGCCATAAATAAGGGGTCAAACAGCAATTATTGATCTCAAACCTGTAGACTTCTCTAAGACACCATGTGATTATACTTTTGTCAGCTTTTGTTAACTTCCTAACAGATAACACTGACAAATCTTATTACAGCTTTGTATACTAGAGAGAGACATTTTCCTTTCTAGTTAGACTGGCTAACTGTAGGCAATTACTAACTGGTTAGTGCTAATATGATAAGCAGATTTCATTTAACTGAAATGAAGTCAAGGGGGTGTGGAGAAGAGTTGGTGGGGACACTAGAGAACACCCAATCCCGCAAAAGAAGTATGTGGGTCTCCATAATGTCCCCATAGGCTATGGGAGCACCTATTGCGCAACCAGTTGCAGGTTCATAACCTAAATCTAAGGTGACATTCAAAGCTTATGCTGCTTATGACAACATTTGAGCAAAAACTTCTTTTCTCAGTTTACTGCCTTATTTATATTTTTCAATAAATATAGCGAGTTCCTGGGGAAAACCCCAGGGCAAAACGCTCAGAAATGGATTCCTTCACGAAGCACTAGACGAGATGACGACTCCGCAAATGACAAAGAACGACATGATGCAATCTTCAGGAAAGTAAGAGGGTAAGTTGGTCTATTATTTTTAAGGTTAATATCGATTGGCAAAGTGGAGTGCTAAAAATTACCTTCCCCTTCTCCCCCCCCCTTCTCCCCCCCATATTATCTTATCAACCTGTAGTATAAGTACTTTTATACCAGTAGTTTTCAACCTGTGGTCTTCAGACCCCCAGGGGTCTGCAGACTACATCCAAGATTTCCAAAGGGGTCCATGCCTCTGTTAAAAGTTTGTGTGTGGGGTTGTTGGGTGTGTTTTTTTGTGTGTGTGTGGGGGGGGGGGGGGTCCACAAATGAAAGGTTGAAAACCGCTGTCTTGCATGGTTAAAATTGAAATACATGGTTCCTAATGGAAGGGTTAGAAGGAGGGGCAAATACATGTTCATAAACTTATAAGAGAGTATTCCTGAAGCTGATCAGAGATTCCTGAGTAGCTGTCTTCTGTAAGGGATTGGTGGAGCAGGAGAAAATCTGAACTATCTGCCTTGCATCATGTAAAAAACTTGTAATGGGGAGGGTTTAAGATTGCTATATTCTGTTTGCTGCTGAGTGCATTTCTTGTGTGCCCTAAAAAGCCTCCTCTAGTTGACAAACACACAAAGTAAATTGCTCTTGTCTAAAGTGATAACTGGAAAAAAACCAGGACAACTCAAATCTTAACCCCAACTCACATAAATTAAAATAGCTGTATCGGCTATGTGAACATTTTACAAACATAACTGATTCCTCTAACTTTTTTCTTCCTCTAGCATACTAAATAAACTTACTCCTGAAAAGTTTGACAAGCTATGCCTTGAGCTCCTCAATGTGGGTGTAGAGTCTAAGCTCATCCTAAAAGGGATCATACTGCTGGTAAGTCAGGTGTATTTTAAGTACATATGAATTTAGTATTCAATAAGAATATCTAAGTGATTGTTCTAAAACTAGGGTTTTTGTGTAAAGGATGAATAATCTTGGTTTAAGTCTCAGAATTGTTCCTGATATATAAAAGAGGGCCAAATAGATGAAGGAAAATTGCCCAAAACTTAATTTTATTACGTATTGGGGATTACAACTTGAAGAGAAGCAGCAGCCTAACTAATGACCATTTAACTTCTATTCATATATTAAAACAACCCTTCCTGGTAAAGATTTCTACAGTAGTACACGATGTGAAGGCTTCTTTTAATCTGAAGCAGGCCTTTACTAGCCACAAACGCTTCTGATATTTCTGTAGGTGGTCTTGGGACTCTGTGTTACACTTTGAGTGCCAAGTGATAGTGTAGCTTTTTTGAAACATTGCTACTAGTAGTAGTTATACTGTGAAAAATAAGAGTTGTACTGTACTACCCATCCTTGTGCTTTATGTAAATTACTTAAATATAGTCAGGTGAACTGAAGTGAGGCTGGCAGGGACTTTGAGAGATATCTAGTCCAGACACATACACCATGCTGTGACCGCCCCCCCCCCCCCCCCCCCCCCCCCCCCCCCCCCCCCCCCC